GTCTGCCCGTGATCACGGTTGCTGCAAAGTAACCGAAACTAAGTAATCCGAAAATATTAGTTTTATTTAAATGAATACCCATGAAAAACTTAAATTTATATTTCTTTAATTAACTTATTTATTTTAATGATTAAACAGTTTTTAGAATATAATGAGTGTTATAAGTAAACTTATTTAACATATATTAAATGGAGGTCATATTTAAAGTGTGAAAAAAGAAAACTTTTTATAATCAGATAGTTATTTGTAGGAAATTATATTGTATTTATAGTTATTTAATTTTAGAATGACCACGTTTGTCATTTTACCTTGGCGACAGAAGTAATCCAACAAGTTTGAAAACGATGGAAAACGTAGTTAAAAGTTTCGGTTTCAGGTCAAACAGAAAACTCAAAGCTATTACCGCTTTTATTATGTATGGTTTAACTTTATGTTTCCCCAATAAATAAAGTATTCCTAGAAAAGCATTGTAAAAGAAATTAGCAAGTTAATTGGTTGAATATATGACAAAAATTGTGTAATAATTTATGAAGGAAGAATTATATTACCACGAACCTCTGTCTCGTAAAAAGACGAAGTTAGTTTTTTATAATGGAGAAATTACTTTTATTGTTATAATTTCTGAAAATATTCTGCGAATATAATCCTAATAATAAATGATTTGGATAAAAAATATCTTATAATTTCCATTTTAATCTGCAAAAATAAGGAAGAGATGTTTCAATGATCAAAAAGATTTATTTTCAATATGTTTGTTCATAAAAGTTATGTTTAGGAGTCTGTCCATTATTCAAAAATTACTTTTAAGTTCTATTCAAAACAATGGACGTGGGATGCAGAAATAAGAATTTTTTATTGTTCTGATTATACTTTTTTCTTCTTTTAATCAGTTCAATGAAATTTTATTGGATCCTTCAGATCAATAACATCTTAGATGCAATCCAAAAATTAGAACAAACTTAAAAATTCCCAAATATATAACCTTACTATACTTTAAATAAATCAATATCGAAAACCTGACTTGAGAAGATCGATTTAATTTGACTTATATGTAGAACAGCAATTGAGAAAACTGATAAAAAAGGATTCTTATAGAATCACTTTACCTTTTATTTCACTTATTTTTATTTAATTATATTCTTACAGAAGATACATATGTGTGAAAAAAATATTTTAACTGTATTTCTTGGAAGGAGTGAGAAAGAGAAACTGAGTGTTAGTTCTTTTCAAACATCCCAAATGTATGGAATTTAGTATTGTTATTACTACTTTTTGTATTAAAATACTATTCTTTCTTCTTTCTTCAACAATACACTTAAAAACAAATTTAAGTGGATTCAATTATTTTGGATTTATCATTGGATAATATTTCTATATTTATCTACTGTAGGGTTATCAGGTGTCCAACAACCTTTAATAGGGTGTGTTGACAAATCCACTTAACTATGTCAACTGGGATTTCATGAATAGTCCAATCATCAAACAGTTGAATGCAGTAAATTTTGCTCAATGAACGCCAGGTATGATCATGCTTTACTGAGTTATTTTTCGAAAAGGATTCAAGTACACACTAAGTTCGTTTGTCTGTTTGAGAAATATAAGATTAAACAAAATTCCGACTTTCTCACCCAGCGTTGTCAGCCAACTTATATGGAACCAGCTAGTTTTGATGTTAGGAATTACAATCTCCTAAAAGGATCTGCTATCCTGAAAGGTACTGAAGTAGAAAAACATCACCAGCCTCACTGAGGTTTACAAAGGTCTTTAAGATGACGAAGACGCTGACAGTAGAGGCTTTTGTGGGTATATGTGCACGCATACCCCGGCCCTACTAAAGATGTGTAACCTGAGTATGTAAGGCGAGCCGTTTCTGTAGAATATATGTAGAAGCTACGTTTCGCTCACGAAAAAAAACAAATACATCTTACTAGTTTCTAGGTGGTGGTGGTTTGGTAATAGCTAACAGAGCAGAACTCTAATGTTAGTGAGTTGTACTTAAAAAGAGAGGAAGTTTAGCCGCTATATGAACTTTACTTGTCTTTTTTAGACGCCTCATAGTTTTTTAAGGAGAATAGTATGTGTGACGGATAAAATTGAACGAGGCCTTATTACTCAATAAGACTAGACTCGTTGTCCTAGTGGAGGCTTCGTCTGGACTCCCGAACCTTCCCAAAAATCTGTTTATTCTATCGGATCCTATCATCTGGTCGCCAACCGATACAATGAAACCACCCTGGAATTATACACAGTTGGTGAACCAGCCATTACTTAACCGGCTGAGTCACAATCGGCTCGAATCACAAAGCGACTGTTCAGACCCTTCTTCCATATGGCTTCATCAGACAATAATATACAGAGAAAATATTTCACTACGATAAATTGTTGTGTAATTCATGTATGCATTTAAATTATATTTATTAAGCTGATTACGTCGACGGTTTCCTCTTATCATAGATAAACAAGTGAAGACTTTGTATTTGCAAAATTAGGATTTTATCTCATCATACTGGAATAGCGAAATGATTGATAGATACCAGTAGTAGTGTTCTCTTAATAGTGACATGAAGGCCTATTTTAAAACTGATAATATCTTATATTGAAATCAATCTCCTAATAAGAATTGTTTACTGAAGTAAAATTTATTTTGTTATTATTTTTTATGAAACATGGCGTTGTCAGTAAATGGTAAGTACAATTTATTAAAATAAATTTTCATCGACGTGCGTGATAAATAAATGAATGCAAATATTGAAATCTTGTTCATTCATCTTAATTTTTTTATAATATATAAATTTTAAAGTATTTTAGATCTTATCAATAAGAAATAAATATTAAAAAAATGAAGTGCTTTCATACGTTTAGTGGACTATAGTATACCTATAGGTTTATACTTATAGTAGAAACAAAAAGACGATGTGCGAACAGTGGAAAAAAATATGACTCAATTTACGGCTAAGCTTATTTAGAAGAAATTAAAAATATGTGTAACTTCAATTTAAGGAAAATAATTAATTTCAAGACATGAGATTTTACAAAGATACCTTTACATTGAAGTAATAATAAGAAGTGCTTTAGAAATTTAATACAAAATAAAAATATATCATGAAAAAATTTCTAATAATAATTTAAAATAACAAATGGTTCGACAACGCAATAACTTCTTCTTTGTGTTGACGAACAAGATATGATATTAAATCTTCATTTATATTTACAGCATTTGGACTAAATAAATCAAACAATACTTTGATAATGGAATGTTATAATATTTGACGTTTTGTACACATAATTCTTACAAATAAAGTACATGTTAAAACATCTAGTAATTTATGAAATTGTTTGCAAAAAAAAATTTAATTTTTATTAAAAACTTAGCAACTGATCAATGATACTCTGTTTAATTTACTAAACAATTAGATCATGAACCTTGTTACAGTATTATTTTAATATAGAAAGTTGTAATTCATTTCAGTTTTTATTTTGTTTTGCATAACATTATGTATTCCTGTTGAATAAATAACTAACAAACTAAAGTAACTTACGGTAAACTACTAAGTACTCCCCTTTAAATATTTTAACAACATTTTAATATGAAACTCTTTTAAATTTATTATTGTTATTTTAAGGCAAGTTATTTTTACTATCTCAGTTGCCATAATAGTAACTCGGATCGTGAGTGATGTTGATAGTAAAAATAAACTGTGATGGTTTGTAAATTTCCTATAAAAAGTGTATACTTGATTAGTCCTATTTATGGATTTTTTTGTTTCAATTTTTTCCAATAAATTTTATGAGATAAAAAATAGTTCTTAAAACTCTCGTGATATAATATCTTGTTTTGTTTTAATAAAATGCTAATCTTATTATAATATTATATTTTATATGTAAAAAAAATCATTTGATATAAATTTTATTTCATATTATACACTATGAATCCTTTGCAGATAAAACTAAAAATACAGATGATTCAATGAAAATATTAGAGGATGCACTAGTACTTTGCAGATTTGGCAAATTTCATATCAAGTTACTAACTGCTTCATTATGTGCTGCATTTGCCGTTATGATGGTAACAACTACATCTTCTTATATTCTGCCAGTAGCAGAATGCGATTTGAATATGAATATAATGTATAAAGGCCTGCTAAATGCAATGCCATTTTTTGGTAAGTTTATAAATCCTACTTTAAAATCTATTACATTAATATAAATAATTTTTTTTGTTAAATATATTTATGAAATTATATTAACGGTTTCTTTTAGGACAGATTGGTGCAAGTTTATTTACAGGCTTCTTGGTTGATGCTTTTGGCAGAAAAATATTTCTAGTGGGTGGAAACGCAGCCATTTTTGTGTGCACTCTTATTGAAGGGTCAAGCCAAAATTATTGGATGTTAATATTTATGAAATTGTTAGAAGGAATTTCGTAAGTATTTCTTAATATTTTTAAGATTCTTAATATTTTAATCAAATGCACTGTATTTAATTATCATCAGAATTATTAATTGCTTATAAAAACTCTACTTTATAATAATAAAAAATGTACACACAAATGTTTATACATAAAAAATCTAAACTGAAATATTTTCCTACTTATTCGACTTGTCGGTACCAAATCTAATTTTGTATTACTTTTATTATCAAATTATTTAGTTTAATTTACGAAATTTACAATTTAATGTCCGTTATTGTCATAAATCACTGAAAGAAAACGATTTTTTACTCGTTATTGGTTTCTAATTTCCAGATTTTAATATTTAATTTAAAAATTTTCTTGGTAACATATGCACCATAAATACGAAACAAAACATGTAAAATTTGTAAAAGTGAGTATCCGTTTTGCCTCCAAACAAAGGTTAACTGAAAAGATACAAATAAATAATTATCATGTATGCAACCACATAATTGTCTGATAAAAAATTAAGACGGTTATAGATATAATCTTCTTTTTAACTTTACTGGTAATAAGTATTTAAATAATAATAAATTCTAAATCTTGCAGAATGAGTCTTAGCTTTAGTGCCATATCTACAAATTTAACGGAGTTCTGCCATAAGGACATAAGGGACAGAACGCTAATGCTATACTCAGGATTTATGTCTCTATCCTTAATCGTCGCTGCATTAGTATCATGGGCGATATTGCCCTTGAAAATAGATATTGTATTTGTGGAGGGATATTTTGGTAAGTTATGTAGAAGTTTCGTTCATTCATTCATAAGTTATTTATTTAGTTTTAAGTAATAATCTATTTTTATGTTCTTAATTAATATATGGATGTCACTTATTACAGTCTTACTCCTTAAAAGTGATAAATTAAATTGTTCGATATTGATTTTTGTAAATAATTTATGACATACATTTATATTTGTATTTTCTTTTGTTATAAAAAGTAACTTATAGTATATTTTTAATAATTTACAGAATTACATGCATGGAATATTTACTTATACGTCTGTTCAATATGGAGTTTCATGGCTACAATTCTATTCTATAAACTGCCTGAGAGTCCCAAGTACTTGCTGTCGCATAGTCAAGAAAAGGAAGCTTTGGAAGTAGTTCGAACAATATACTCCGAAAACACAGGAAATGCAAAGGACACGTTCCCTGTACGATCTACCTTTTATTTTCTCTCTTAATGGTCAATTCCTTGTGCTAAAAATATATACGTCCTGTTTTTATCTTTTATAGTGGATTAGTTAATTTTTGCATGACTTCTGTGTAAAAAAAATAATTTTGGGTTTATTAATAGAAATAAAGAAAATCCTACAGTGCACAATATTTAACCAAAGTACCGTTATTCTTTTTTTGAGTATTACACTTTAAGTAAATACCTAAGAAAAATAATGATATTCCCCCACCAAAAATATTACATACCTAAATATTTTTTACTTATAGTATTTAATTTTATCATGTTTTAATATTATGATTGAAATTTTATAGATAACATCATTTAACGTTTCGGTCAATTCAAATCCTTCGAATGAGATGAGCTTGAAGAGACAAATAGTGAATGCTTTATATGAAGTCAAAGTACTATTCCGACAGCCCTTAGTATTTAACCTATTACTATTTTCCATGATATCTTTCGTCGCATTCTTGGGGTAAGCTTAATTTCATTTATAAATATTACAGCTCTGAGATTATCTAAATTAAATGCGTACCTTGCAAGGTCGAACAGCTAGGTATATTCGATTTTCTTACATCAAATTCTACCATTTTAGCTTTACATCCTTACGACTTTGGTATCCTCAATTGTCGACAATAGTTGAAAATTATGAGAAACAAAATGGAAAAACAGCACGTTTTTGCGTCATGCTGACAGATTACATGCAAAACCTTAAAGTGAAACACAGAAATACAACATTACTTGAATTGACTGAGCCCGATGTCTGTGTTCCTGTAAGTATGAATAAATTTAATTATACATATAATATTTTTAACAAAACTACATACAGTAAAATTATTTTAAATTATCGAACTCTCAACTGTAATATGGCACAATTATATTTTGTAGCCTACCTATTTTTAACTACCATACTGGTCAACTCTAGTATAATTTTTAAATTTATCATCTCTAAAATCCATAGCTAACATCACTGAATATTTAATAATAATGTAAAATATGATTTAAGTGACACAAAAAATAGCTTTAAATTTTATATTAAAAAAACTTACAATATGAAAGTTGTTGTTGAATAAAATTACAATTAAGACTTAGTAGATATTTAAAAGATTAAACACAATTTGATTCTATAATATTTAATACTGAAATACACCGAACATCTTCAAAAACACTCATTCAAATACAATAATTATAATTAATTTATTCGCAGAAGTTGAGCGGATCTGAAACCTACATTAATGGAATGATCTTGGGATTTGTTGCCCTAATATTTGTTGGTATAAGCTGTTATTTGGTAAAATACGTGTCGCAGAAGGTCCTAATGTTTATCTTTCTAATAACGTGCTCAATGACGTCAGCTGCGATGTATTGGACTAGCACTTCTATTCAAATAGCCCTATTAGTTTCCTGTACGTGTGCTTTTATACAAACAGCATTCAGTTTAAAACAAAATCTTTTTGTTCGTGTATTTCCAACAACTCTAAGGTAGATTTATTTACTTTATACGATCTTATTTTATTTTATTCTTAATGCATATGTTCAAATGATTATATGAGTCAATAATTTACAGAATATTTAATGGATTATTCAAAATTATTGTTACATATCTTCAAATCATGAGTATGGTTTTAAGTTTAAATAGTTCTTGAATTAAGCTTCACTATCTGGAAGCGAAAAGGGAGCGAAGACTTTCCTACTATCAACAAAGTTCATTGCGAATATATAAATAAATACTAAAGTGTGTTTTTCACTTCCAGAGCTCTTGCCTTTTCAATTATTATGGTCTTCGGCCGATTAGGATCGGTCGTGGGTAATATAATCTTTCCAATTTTATTAGATACTGGATGTATGGCTCCGTTCATTTTAACATCTTCTATAACATTATGTAAGTATCTTTATCAAATAAATGGTAACGTTTATTTATAAATAACATGAGAATTTGTCCTAACAATCATTGTAAAAACAACGAAGACTATTGTATTTCATTATACAATTTAAAACACTGTGCCATATTTAAAATTTTATTTTGTATTATCTCTAATAATTATTAAGTTATGATTCGAAGTTAAAGAAAATAAATCTGCTTATATTTCAGGTATATCGGGAGTAGTTTACTTTTTACCAGGAGTGAATAAAGAAAATAAAGAAGTCGGGGACAAATGATCACTAAATGGAGACAATTCGACAAAAATTACTGCAGTAAAATAATAGTTTTATGTTTAAGAAAAGTCCCTCTAGGCCATTTACGTTTTCTGGCCTTTTAATAAAGACTTGGCTACAAGGACAGTTTGGCCAGCTCATAACATGCAAAAATCAGAGATACAAAGTGTATATAAGTTTAAAAGATGAAGAAAAAATCACTTTTATAAATAATTCATGTATAAATTGAATAAGAAACTTGTTATTCGTGTTCGGACGTAAAAGTAAAGAACAAAGAGATTTATCGGCGAGGTTGTACTTGCTACAATATATTATCTCCTTACCATAGCAAGGATTCAAGTTTGTGATTTACAAGAAAACTACTTCAAGTTTTATCTCAATGTAGCGGTTAGAAGAGTTATTTTGAAAAGATGTTTTTAAATAAATGCTTTTTTACAACCGCTGGCTTCTTATTTATGATATAAATAATTCCTTTCCTATATTATTAATGTATTATTTAATTAAAGAAATTATGTATTTGTAGGTCCTTTTTATAAAATTTTAATATATTTTCTACAATGTTATGTGTTTTTTCTGGTTTTCTGAGGAATTCGGTACTTAGTATATTTCGTTGTCATCAGCCTATCAGCGCCCACTGCTGAGCAAAGGCCTCTTTCTCACATGGAGAAGGTTTGAGCATTAATCACCACGCTTGCTCAAGACGGGTTGGTTATTTCAAACTTATAATTGTAAAACTATAAGTCCAGGTTTCCTCACGATGTTTTCCTTCACCGTATGTCAATGGTGTCTAAATACTCTCAGAAAGTACATATGACTCCGAAAAATCACATTGGTACTTGCCAGGTTTGAACCCGCGCCCTCGGCAACGAGAGGCGGACCCTTTAACTGCTAGGCCACCACTGACTGACTTAGTATATTTTTATTCTAATTGTTCAGTTATTATATTCAATGTAGACGTATAAAAACTGCGGTTTGAAATATATTTCAAATTTTATAAAGAATCAACCGAATAGAATCGCAAGGTACAAGTCATAAAGAATAAGAAACAGACAATTTGCTGGACCGTGTTGAAGGTTGTTGCAGTTCTAGGAAAAAATTGTATTTTTCTAAAGATTTAGATTTTAATAAACACTCTTGAAATATTATTTTCTAAACGTATTTTATACGAAAAATTTAGTGACGTTTACTTTTTCAATAATGTAAGTACTTACTTAGTCTGCTTGTTTTTATCTTTCGGTGTATTTTTTTTAAATACGTTTATTGATCGCAAACGCTAAATTATAGCACACAAATTTCTTTAAAAACGGTTAATGTACATATTGTTGTTATTCTACTGAACAAATTTCAGAATTCATGAAATATAGATTTTTTTCATTCTAAACTTCTTAAATAGAATTTCATAAATCCACTTCTTATAATTTGAGCTTTAGTTTCGAAATAATGTTAAAAAATATCACAAGCATAAGTACAAATAAAAAAGATTTTTAAATAGATTTCATCCAATTTTTAAACAAATTCATGTTAACCTTTAATCCTCATACTGCTGCATTCTGCAATTATGCGACATTTTGTGTTTAAATATTCTATTCACAAACATGCGGTTTTTTACGCAGTACATTTTTTTGTTCGGTAAAACGACTGTCAAAACGCGTTACCAACAATGACTTGACATTTTCATACAACAGGTTATAGTTTTTATTTATCTCATAACACAAATAAGACAATAAGATAAAAAAATATATAATATAAGCTTTTTATTGAATTTTATCTCAGTTGAATGTAATTTGATTCTTAAACAAACATCTTAAATATTTATTTAATGTTTGATACACACCTCTCATGTTAAAGTGTTTTTTTTTTCATTTAAATTTTTATAAACAAATAACTAATAACTTTAAACTAAGTCTGTAAATTCAGAAAAAGGTTGATCTCTAACCAATTGTGCGTTCAGGACATATTATTTATTAAAATGTTTATTTCCTATACTTTTAATTTTATTTTGAAAACGAATGTGGCCCGAGGTTATTTATAATTCAAATATCGACGACAATGGCATCGGTATTTTTGGCGAACGCAAGACCGGCCTACAAATTCCTGGGGCATCATTTCGTTCTCCCAATTTAGATTCAAATAGAAATGCATATACCGTTTTCAATTTCAAATTAAAAGCGCTTTCCGTTTTTTTTTCTTCTAAATATTTTGAAACAATTATGAAGCATCATTCTTTAATTAAAATAAGGAATGTGATAAATGTAAAGAGGTAATACATTCCAAACCGTTAAGTAAGTATGCTTATCATATAAATAAACACTTAAAATGTCTAAATACGGTCAACCTAGCAACATTGAGAAACTAAACAAAGTAAATACTGTACATAAAAATACAATTGATCCAAAAATATTCATTATTTATTGTTTTAATAAAAACCTCCAAAAAATTTTATTTCAAAATTTCATCACATAAATTTTATAACGACTTTGCAATACAATAATGTCTCTGAGAGATTAAAAAACTTTTATACACAGTTTATAAATGTTTTACCGTCAGTAAAATTTAAATATAATTTGTCTACATTTTAGACTTTATTAAAGTACACTGAGTTTAGACAAGATAAGTGAGACTTTATAACGTAAATATATAAAACACAACTTCATTTGAAGTGAATGTTATTTCATAGCTAGGTAAAATCATATTGATGTATTAAATAAACTTAAGAATATTCTGAAACAAGAAAATATAAGAGTATACTTATATAAGTAAAACAGTGCTTAAAAAGATTTAAGATAAGCATTCGATAGAACTGAAAATTGCAGTCCCTAAATTCATGCACGCTTTCTACAAAGGGTAAATGTT